TATGAAAATCACATCAGGAATTTGCTTCTTTTGGGGGAACAATCTCATATCATGGTTCAACAAGAAGCAAAATTGTGTCTCTCTATCTACTGCAGAAGCTGAGTATATAGCTGTTGGGAGTAGTTGTTCTCAATTGGTTTGGATGAAACAAATGTTGACTGAATATAATATCACGCAAGATGTCATGACATTATATTGTGACAACTTAAGTGCTATAAACATCTCCAAAAATCCTATTCAACACAGCAGAACCAAGCATATTGATATCTGTCATCATTTTATAAGGGAGCTTGTTGAAGATGAAATCATTACTTTATAACATGTTACTACAGAAAAGCAGCTAGCTGATATCTTCACTAAGGCATTGGATGCTACTCAATTTAAAATATTAAGAGGGAAATTAGGGATTTGCATTTATGAGGATTTATTGCAATTATTGTTTTGTGAAAATATCATTCAAGAGGTTTGGTATTTTCCAAAAATAAAGATGTTTCAACACCACTTATTATTAAAAGTCACTTCCACACGCTACCCTAACCACACTTTTCACTCCAACTGCCCGTTCATCTCCCATACCTTCACAGAACCTCTGTTTGAACCCCATTCTCTGCTTGAACCTCTGCCTGAACCCCATTCTCTCACTCACAAAAAACTCAAGATGTCTCCAAAACAAGTTTCTACCTCTTCCAAATCCGCTAGGTCTGATTCTAAGACAAAGGCTCAACCTGTGAGTATCTCATTTGATGACGTGTTGGATGTAACTCCTCTTGCCATGGTTCCATGTGACGATGCTGAAGTGATAAAATCCACAACCAAACATGCAAGCGGTTCTAAACGTACCTCTATAGGTAAATCTTCTAATACTTCTCTTGATTCAACTACTGAAAATAGGAACAAAGAGGGTAGTGAATATGTTGATATAGCTATTAGGAAGTTAGTTACTAAGGTTCTGTATGGGGGCCATAATGTTCCTGGGATTTCTACCCACTGTCTCGTATAGACGACATTCCCACTACTGATGCTAGCCAAGGTAAAGAAAAAGATGTTGATGGCTCTCATTCTAAGAAGAACCCTGACACTGATAATCTGCATAAGTTAGCTAACTTTGTGCTCAAAGAAGGAAGGGTGGAAGGTGATGCTAATGTGGATGTTGGTACCTCTGGTATGGAAAACAAAACTAATAGTTCATATCAAAGTAAGAAAAAGGTTAATGTTTTTGATGATGTGGTGGACCTTGATAATGTTCCATCTGATGATGAACTAATTAAGAATGTGGCTCCTGGAATTGCAAAAAGGTTGAAGACTAGAAAAGGTAAATTTGTGATTGATCAATCTTCCTCTAAGAGTAATAAGAAGAAAACTGTTGTTGGACCCCTAAAGCTTGGAGCAAAGTCACTCTTGTCTCTAAGAAAAGAAAGGCTAGGTCAGAAACTGATTCTGATGAAGATGTTGAGGATGATGTCCAGGACATCACTCCTGTAAAAAAATCTGCTACAAAGAGAGCAACCGATACTGTGCCTGCTGCTCCTTTAGACAATGTGTCTTTCCACTCCATTTACAATGTGGCAAAGTGGAAATTTGCGCACCAGAGAAGATTTGCTTTGGAAAGAGAATTAGGAAAGGATTCTCTTGAAATCAAGAAAGTCATGAAATTAATCTCTGATGCTGGGTTGATAAAGACTGTGGTTGGTTTTTCAAAATGCTATGATATGCTAGTTAAAAAGTTCATTGTGAACATTTCTGAAGACATTATTGACAGAAAGAACATGGAATTCATGAAGGCGTTTTTGAGAGGAAGATGTGTTGAGTTTTCTGTTAATGTGATTAACAGGTTTCTAGGTAGGGATAAGGAAGAGGCTAGTGAACTAGAGGTAACTGACAATCAAGTTTGCAAGGTGATAACTGTTAATCAAGTTACTGAATGACCCTCAAAAGGTAAATTATTTGTTGGCCAACTGATATGGAGTATGATATCTTACATAGGATTGATGCAGCCAACTGGGTGCCTACCAATCACACTTCCACCATTGATGTTGGTTTAGGAAGGTTTATTTTTGCTGTTGGTACCAAGGTTAAGTTTGACTATGAAAGTTACATCTTTGATCAAATTGTGAAGCATGCCACCACTAATGTTGTCAAGCTACCCATTGCTTTCCCTTCTCTGATTTGTAGGATTATTTTGAGCCAGTATCCTGGGATTCTCTCAAGCAATAATGTGGCCTGCAAAAGGGACTCTGTACTGTCACTCCACTATAAGCTATTTGCAGGAAGACATGTCCCAGACATTGTCTTGACATCTTCTGAGAAGACATCCACTACAAAGATTGGGGTTATCTCAGAATTAAAGGATACCTGTAGGGAATTGGGAGAAGTTATTAGTGTGGCTACTGCAAGGTAACTAAAGTTGGAAGCTATGATAAGAGGTCTGGAACATAATGAAGAAAATGATGTGGAGGTTGTTGATACTCAGGAAGAGGAAGATAAGGAGGTTTTTGACTCTGGTGAGAAGACTGGTGATCATGTTTCTGGGTCTACAACTAATGATGAAGATGACATTTATGGGTCCGAGGAAGAGAATTGGTGATGCTTGGCGATGATGTTCTTTGAATTATGGTTATTTTGTTTGTTGTTTCAGAATTTGTTCTTCTTGCACTTAATGTGCTTTTGACTTGTATTGTTTGGGTTCTTACTGCATACTTAACTCTATTGGTTATATATAATTGTTCTATGTTATTGTGTTTCCCTTAGTATGATTCCTTTTTTTTTTTGGCTAAAAAGGGGGAGATAGAGTATGAGGAGTTGCTGTTGGTGAGATTTGAGGAGGTTTGGTTTTACTGTTGCTGGTTATGATGTTGAGGGGGAGTTTTATTTTTCTTGCTTTCACTTTGGTTTGAGGGGAAGGGAGCAATATTTGTTGTTGTGCTCACTTATATTTTCTAGGAGCTCTTGTGATCAATTAGTTGTTTTAGCCAAAATTTTCCAAATGGGGAGTTTGTTAGTTCTTGATTGGCAGCAATTTTGGTAAAACTTGGTGTTATCACAATATGTCCTATAGGATGTCTTGACATATGTTCTTAACATTCTACAGGTGGTTATTATTAATGTTGCAAGGTTTAGTTCATGATGTCAAGTATGATGCCCTGACATTTGTGAACGGAACATTTAGTGAGAATGTTATGTTATATCTGTTGTGTTTTTGTGCAACCCTGTGTGTTTTTATGATAAGGATTTCTGCTGGTGCAAATCAACGTGGAGATCTTCCTTAAATAAAAGAGCTTCTGCTAGCTAATTCGTGGAGCACTGTGGAATCTTTTGTTTTATTTTAATGTACAAAATCTTGAGAAGATTTGGAGTTTGATTTGATTTGATCAAATTTAAATTGGTTTTAATTATGAGAAGATTTGGAGTTTGATTTAATTTGATTTGATCAAATATGAATTGATGTTAATTGTGAAAAGATTTGAAGAATCATCTGATTTGATTTTATCAAATAAGAGGTAGTTTTTGCTAAAGCCCAAGCTCGCTCAAAGTGTTACTATATAAAGACTTTGCAATCCTATTTTGAAGATTAGAGAAGTCAGGGTTGTAAGAGTGTGTTGCTTAAAGAATAAGGTTTTTACCTTAGTGTGTTTTTGTTAATTGTGATCCATTCACTCATCACCTTGATGTGTGAAGTGGACTGAGTCTTTGAGTTGTAAGTTGTCAACTCTAAGCTTTTAAGCAAGAGTGCATTGTTCTTGATTGAAGCTTTTAAGCAAGGTCAAGTATTTTCCTTGAAGAGTGTCTTCTATGTTTTATTAATCTGTTTTTATCACTGTTGTGATTGAGGGGGAGTGAGAGGTGTCTCTTATCTAACAGTGTCTTAGATAGAAATTGCAAGGGTAGATATTAGGTGCGAAGATTGTAAACTAGAGAGAGTTTGTTGTGAATCTTTAAACTAATTCTATTTAGTGAATTTCCTTCCTGGCTTGGTAGCCCCCATACGTAGATGTGTTTGCACCAAACTGGGTTAAAAATTGCTTGTGTCTCTTTACTATTGTTAACTGCTTTTTATCTTATTCATATATTGGTAACTATTCAAATATTAGTGTCATGACATCTCTTTCAACATCTCATATCTGATCCCAGAATTTCAATTACCATCCCCTAAGACGAAGTTAATCCAGCTTAGCTCTCTACATCAAGATTTTCTCCTCAAGAGCATTCCAATTAATCACCTCCTCAGTGCACTTTTTGACTCTCTCCACCCTTTGACCATCCATTCTGTTAAGAGTAAGATCCTTTTGGGCATTCTCCAAGTCAATTCTAGCTTTATCCAGGTTTTGTTTGACAGTAGACATGGATCTGCTAAAACCATTCAACTCAGGTTTCAATCTTTTCAGCTTCTGCCACAAAACATACATGGGATCCCCTCTGATAGGTTTATTCCACCTATTCTTCACAACCTCATCATAACCTACCATGTCAACAATGCAGTTATAGAATTTGAATCTTTTCCTAATAGGCACCTCCAGATTCTTACCATCCATATACAAAAGAGCATGAACATTAACACTAGGGGGCAAAATATTCAAAGTCTTCTCCACATTATCTTGGAACTAATCCACATTGCCAAGAACTCTGTCAATTCTTGAATAAATGATACCTAGCACATGTTTATTAGACCAAGTATAATAATTTCCTACACTGTCCATCTCACTCAGCCCAGTAGAGAGTAACATATTATTCAAATCAATATACTCATTTTCTGTGACCATTCTACCACCAATTCTATCCTGAGCTTTTACCATATTATTGAAGTCTCCTATAACACACCATAAACCCTGTTGATTTCTCTGAAGGTTTTCTATATCTTTCCAAAGGACTTTCCTTTTTTCTAGCTGATTCTGAGCATAGACCGCAGTTATCCAGTACCTAAAACCACCATCCTTATCATAAATGCCACAGTGTATGAATTGATCAGAGTTGTTCATAAATATAATATTGACTTTGTTATCATCCTAGTTAATCCAAATCCTACCATTCTCATGGTGGCTGTAATTATCAATAAACTTCCTCTGCATTTTCAAATTATTCCTAGCAGAATTTGCTTTAGGCAGCTTTACTCTTGTCTCAATCAACACGATGATCTCAGGTTTTAACGTTAGGAGACGGAAGCTAATCTCCCTAAGTTTACCCGATTTATTCAACCCTCTAACATTCCAGGAAACTAACATGTTCCCTATCAAAGGCATTTAGAGGGTCATTCAAAACCCCTAAAGCCTCAAAGCCATTCACACAATTTACTTCAGAAGTTGAGCCAGAGCATACTATTCTCTTACCTTTGTCTCTTATGGCCTTGCTCAGTATGGTCCAGTGTTCTTCATTTTCTGCTTCTTGTTGCTTAGTTGGATATGGGTTTGGAGTCACTACAACAGGGATAATGACTTTTATATTATCAGAAGATTTAGCTTTTGGCTTCCATTTCTTCTCTTTACCATTAACATTGCATTGATGCCCCATTTTTTGACACTTTTGACAGAAACTAGGTTTTCATTCATACTTAACAACCTGTGTTATTTTCCTTCCCTCACAATCTCTGATTATAATTGTTAAATTCTGTGTAATATCAACCTCCACAAGAATACGAGCATACGAAACTCGTAGCTTATTTTCCGTGCATTCATCTGTTACCAGGGGAACTCCAATTGCACTACCAATTTTGCTAAGGATTTTTCCCTCCAAAGGTGCATAGGAAGTTGAGGGAGCTTAATCCAAATAGGAAGGGTTCGCAGCACATCTCTCTTCGGATTGAAATTAGGCCTCTATTCTTTTAGCAGCATTGGTACATTCCTTATTGTGTATGGTTTCCCCTCTAATTTTTACAATGAATTGCTTCTACACAAGCATATATAAACATTATTAATAGCTCAAATGACTTAAATAAAACTTATACAATATGAACAATGTTCTTTCTTTATATTGTGGTGCTTCAATACCGTTGTTGCAGTTCTTCATAATTCGTCTACTTTTTGTCATTCATTCTCCTTGTTTTCTTCAAGTAATCAAGTCCTTATATAGCCAGAAAAAGATCCATTAGAGGGCAGATCAGGAATATCCTTTAGATAGCTGGCGACTTGAAATAATGTCGTTACGCAGGGATGAAAATCGTACACAAAAGTTTTCCTTTGTACCACCAAATTATGGTAGTGGAATGGTAGTGGAATAGAACGTGTTTGATATGTACTATGTATTATTTCCCTCATAAATGTTTGATCTTATCTTTTGTACATCAGAGGCTTTTGAATAGAGATGATTGAAGCATGAGTAGAAGAGTTGATTACTGGGTCTTCAGAGTCTTGAGTCTTCAGAACTTATTCACCAGAACATTGTATTCAGAGTCCTAAGCACTCAATCTTTAGAACCCTTGGTCTTTAGTAACTTAAGTCTTCAGTGTCTTCAGAATGTTGTTCAGCAGAACATTGTCTTTAGAGTCTTCAACACTTAATCTTCAGAAACTCAAGTCTTCAGAACTTTGTTCAGCAGAACCTTGTCTTCAAAGTCTTTAGCACTTAGTCTTAAGAAGATAATGACTTTAGAAGCTACTCAGCCTTCAAAAGTAAGACATTAGAGTCACGCTATGAACTAGAATCCAAGAGAGCATTGTAGCTACAACATATTGTCTTCTTAGAATCTTTCTGAATGTGAGTAGATCAGAAGCAAACTTGCTTTTATGGTGCAGAAGCGACTTTGGTCAGATCAGAGTGATGTTGCACATGGTCTCTATCAGAGTCAGAGATTTCTTTAGCAGAGTTAGAACATGTTTGTTAATTCTTCATAAAAACAAATGTTAGAGTATCAAAATTATTCTCACACAAATACTACTTTGTTATTATCAAAACTTAGAGATATCTGGCAGAACCAAATCTTGTTGTAACAACAATATTATTCACACATGAAAAAAACACATAACATTAGTGATATTTGTGAATGGATTATGGTTTTATCTATATACATAGTAGTGAAAACGTGGTCAGCGGCGTTGCTGCTTAAAGTGAAACTGAAATATTCTTAGTTATTGCTCAAATCAGGATATTACTTATAATTATATTATTTATTATGTGACTTATTTATTTTATATTATTTATTATTTATAATAAATAATGTCTGTGACTTAATATTTTGGAATTAAATTCAAGACCAATGTCGTAACAGTGTGTAACAGTACAGTAAAATGCATTGCTGTTTTTTATTCAAATTTAATTTTTTTTTTGTTCAAATTTGACTATGACTTGTATTTTTACTCATTAATTAACCTTTTCAAGTAAGTAGTTGAAATGGAAAAGTCACCAAAGTGACCACTTTTATAGAAATTGCTTATGAAAAATGTTTTTAAAAAAATTCTGGTTTGTGTGTATGAATGTCCATGCAAGTACCAATTGACCCAAAGGACAATTGGTGGTTGACCGATTTTCATACGCGTCCGTGATGATAAACATGTGATAATTATAAGGTTTCACATGTGAGTAATAAGTCAATCCTAAGATGATTTTATTATTCAACTTTTTTTATCATCAATGTTTGATCGTTACAACAAGATTACCACTATCAGTTTATATTGTTGTCCAAAGACTAAACATTGATGGTGCACCAGGTATCTTGATATGAGTTATGTCTTTATTTGAAGAAATTGATAATTTAATTGTTTTTTTTGTTGAGTATATTATAGTGTTTATTATGTTCTATTTTTCAACTACAATTGCTTCAATATCTACTAATATGAGCAAGGTCCAGGTTCTTAATGGAATAAAATTGAAGGATTGGAATGAGAATATGAAAATTGTTTTTGATTGCAAGGATCTTGATCTTGCATTAAGGATGAAGCAACCACATTCTCCTACGAAATCTAGTACCTCTAGACAGAGGAAAAATAATGAGAAGTGGGATCACTCAAATCACATGAGTCATGGTTTGGTTTGTTCTGAGGTCAATTTAGCTTCAGTACTTGGAAACACTTTGTGATTAGGCTTTGGTGCAACTACTAACATCAGTGTTTCAATTAAGGGTTGCATGAACTACCGAAAGCTGATGCAGTATTTTCGCAAGTATACGAATCGCGTCAGAGTAATATAAAAGATTATCGATCCCACAGAGACCAAACGTCAATCTATTGATTTCTATTATTACAATGTTTATCTAAGGAAAATCAATTGGGAGTTCGTGAGTGCACAATAAAAGTAAAGTACGAATATATAAAAAGGCGCACATTGCGTTAAAGTAATAAACCTATTTTAAGAAATATAGTTTCTTGGCTCAGTTGAAAAGTATTTTGACTCGGAACTTTTTAACGAAAAGAGGTTCATGCAAACCGGACTTTAAACCCATAAGCACGTCCGAAAATAGTTTTAAAATCGTTTTTCTAAAGTATTAAAAACTTCTACTTAACTGGACAAAGCGCTTTCGCTTCCTTCGAACATTTAAGACTAACCAAGTTTAACCAAAGGTTGGACGACTTTCGATCTTACCCAAAAGAAATGAAGTGCAGAAAACTCGTGTTAAAAATCAGAATAACCCCTGAGTATTTTTATTGACAGCTTGTATGGAATACTACTTTAACTATGATCCTTACATTATAACCTTTAAAATTTAGCCGAACATGGAAATGTAAGTAGACATGTTAAATAATGCGAGAAAGTAAATGGTGTGAAAAAGTAAATATTGCGAGAAAGTAAATGGTGCGGAAAAGTAAATATTGTGAGAAAGTAAATGGTAACCTGCTCCAAACGGAAGGTTTTAAATCTGGTACAACTAGAAATAAATGACTGGAAAGAAAATAGCGGCAGGATTAACTTCTACCAGAGTGCTCCAAACTCGATTACAGACTTGATCGAACAATGCAATAACTCCTCAATGTGAGAAGTTTATCACTTTACAATACTGAAAATATATGGCTTGAGTTTTGTAACTAAGCTTAGCTGCCTAGAAAGGTTCAAGAACTCATCTATTTATAGCCTAGGGAAAATCTATGGAAAGACCAAAATGCCCCCAACTTCTTTTGGGAGGGAAAACAAACTACAAAGGTGGCGCCTGCCACACCCTCATGGCGCCCACCATGTGAATCAATGGAGAAAAAAATGGAGATCGTGGCAGTTGACAACAGTTGACTCTTATCAGAGTCATGGCTTACCATATGGCGCCCGCCATGGTGGATGCCATGTGTACAATTTCCTCAAAAATTGGGTTTTCTTGCCCGTTTTTCTTCATTTCCTCGCGAGGAGCTCTGGGAATACAAAATCCTGAAAACAAAACAAAACAAAAGCATAACACAAGAAAATAGCAATAAAATCCTAAAAAACATGTGCAATCTGAGTCAAATACATAGTATGATTCAGTGTTATCAAATTCTCCAACACTTAGGCCTTTGCTTGTCCTCAAGCAAAACACTTTATAGCTCATGACAGAAAGAGGTGGTATCTACAAATGATTTGGGCTAAAAGAGCATCTAAGTTCAAACTAGGATGAAGTGATAGGTACTAACTAAGTGAACCAAGGATATCTCAATAACACTTTTCCGCAGACACGGACATAAACTTCATTCCTATACAAACCAATCCATCTACCCCATTGTACCTAGGCCTACTTTTTGCATCTCTTTTTGGGTCCTGTTCATTCTGGTGCAGTTACATTAAGCTCGTTATTCGTGTATACTCATAGTAAAGTGACCGGTTAGTGATTCTGATCTCAAGCACGGGGATCTGGTACACAAACTGGTGTAACCCCTTTATTGAACCAATTGTAGTTATGGGGGATCGGATCGTAACCCGCCCTACCAAGTTCAGCACCAGATACCTCTGAACCAACCAACAATAGAAAATTTTATTATATATATATATATATATATATATATATATATATATATATATATATATATATATATATATATATATATATATATATATATATATATATATATATATATATATATATATATATATATATATATATATATATATATATATATATATATATATATATATATATATATTTGAAATTTTTACTTTTTGGGTTAAATGACCTTGTGAGGGTTACCTATATCCGAGTTGCATTTTTTTATGAAGCACAACATATAGATCATTCACTTATATTCATCGGTCCCTTACATAGAGCATGCTCAGGCCGGAGCTGGCTGCTAGGATAAACTACTAAGGACTTACTCTAAAAAGATAATTAAGGCCAT